GTCTTTTGTAAATTTATTAATACTTAAACAAAGTTTACTTTGAGTCATCTTCCATAGAATAAAAACAAAAAACAAAAAAATTGGAAAAATAATAAAATCAAAGGTAAAATACACAAATGAATATTTTGATCAATGAAGTTTCGGAAGAAATCAATCATTAAATTATCAAATTGTTACAAAATGGTTGTTGCATGTTATAAAATAGTGCTAAATTTCGACAAGTTTAATGATCATTTTACAACAGTTTGATAAATTTAATGACCATTTTGTAATAGTTTGATATAGTTCAAAGACCATTTTGTAACTTTCAAAACTTTAGTGACTAAAAAGATCATTCAAACATAGTTTAATGACTGGTTATGCACTTTACCCTGAAATAAAATAGAAAAAAGGCTGCTGAAAATAGTCAAAAGCCCTGACTTTGATTCCATCGTCTTTCTTTGATAAATATATATATATAAAGATGGAAAAAGTATATAGAAATAAACAAACATGATTTCAAGATTAAGGAAGTATGACCAATGTCCAATGGGAGTATCCTTTTCCCCTTGGTATTCAAAGAGTCCATTGGTTGGCTAACCTAGAAGGGAAAAAGGAATGATTTTGAAAGCAAATTTGATGGTTAGGGCAAAGGGTGAGTGTGCAAATGCAATGGGCACATATTCTTCATCACTACTACATATATAAAGCTAAAACCCTAGACCTACACAGCCTACCAACTCAACACTCCAATCCTTTCTACTTGTGTTGATAATTGAGAGATTAAGGAGGATTTCAAATTCAGACCTTCAACTTTTGTCAAACAACTATAGACTACTTTTAAATAACTACATATTTAATCAATTTTCGAAAATATATAAAATGTATTGTCTTGGAGAGGACCTAGTTTGAGGATAAAGAAAAAGATTACCGATATTAAAACTTTTAAAATTGTTTACAGGTCATTTATCAAAAAGATAATTACATAAGTTAAATGAATTTCGAATCAATCTTATGTTTGAAGGATTTGGAGAAACCAATTATTTACTTAAAGGGTGAGTGTTTAATACACTTATGCATAATTTATGTATTGTTAGAAAATTAAATGATGATATATCATTAAAATGAATTTAATTTAATTTTAACTTGAATAAAAAATTATAAACAGTTTATATTATATTAATTTTTATAAAATTGTATAAGGAATATAAAAATATATATTAAATATTTAAAATTTTAAAATATATACTATAAAATCTTGTAAAATTTAAAAATATAAACGATGGTTATAAACTAAAAGAGGGGCATTTTAATAAGTATTATAGGGTGTAGTCTGATTATATATTTTAGGCATCAGTATATAGCAAATATAATTCTTTCCATTAATTGCCAAATACAGAAAAATTCTTAAGGTTTTGTTTTTGACAGAAGCTTGCATGATGGATGATAATAGTGTGATACAACTAGGGTTTCCCTATTAATGGAGGACCAAAACCCAATAGATAAGGCTTAAGAGGAGGGATTGCCTCCCTATTATTAGAAAACTGTCCCTTGGTTTTTGAAGCTAGGGTACTTTGCATGTCCTTCAATGGAGGGTGGATTAGGGACAAAATTATTCATTTTTCAACTGCTATTATCGGCTTTTGCGAGGTTAATTAATCGGATAAATTTCCTCCCTTTCTTCGCTAATGGGTAGTATTCGTTTACACAATATAAAACGTTTTTAGTTTTATGCAGGGTGATTACAAGTGGTAGTATATGTTATAAAGACTCAACTATTCTACAATAAACGTTCAAATATCCTATAGTCTCTAGTGCTCGAATCTAGGACATCTAGGAATAATAATCATTCATTTAACCATCGAAGTAACTTGGTTCGTTCTTAATATATCTAGTACGTCTATAATCACGACAAATTCTGATTTATACTTGATTTAAATAATTTAGAATTCAATTTTTAAAATGAAAATTTAAAAATATAAAAAACCCTTCGAATTTAGAAGGATCAATTTCACGCCCCCATCATTATTCTTCTCATTAATATCGAGAAACCAATAATTAAACCCCTAATTTGGTATTAGGGTTTTGCTCCAATAATTGTGATTAAAATCTCCACATCTTAACAAACTAAAAACAAGTAAAAGAAAAAGTACTATAACAGTTGTTTTGGAATCTCCATGGTTCAACAGTCATTAAGGAACAAAGGAAGTAAAAGAGTGTATTATTGGTATAAAAGTTAAGAAGCAAATAATGCATCATCCATCTGCCCGGTTTCGAGTTTTTGCAAAATACCTTAAGTGGCAATTAACAACAAACAAAATACAGAAAGTGTCAGTCATATGAACTCCATTTTCCATCGACCATTACTGTCCCCTTTATGATATGTATTTCCCTTCAAAATCTTTAGGGTTAAAGCTTCATGGATCGGGCAAATAAGGAAATAATTCTTAAACACACAAAGTACCTTAGTTGTTACCTACATGTCTTAATTGTGTCGGATTAAATAAAAATCATTTTAAGTTGCATTGGACTTACGGGATATAAGATTATTTTCGAGAATAAAATTTTTAACGGTGTTTGGTTTATGATTTAAGTAGCGTTTAGTCATTTATAATAGTCGAAATTGTCTAATACCTTAGACTGGAGTGGAATTATATTTCCACTATTTGCACCCAAAAAATGTTATTATAGGTAAAACAATATTACCCTTTGGCATGATAAATCTACGTCAAACATAATATTATTATTTCTTATTATATTTCAATCTAAATTTATTCTACTTTAAATTCAGTTATGTAATGGAGAGATAATTAGTAAGAACTTTTTGGCCTTTATGCTTAAGGATTTTGAAATGATTTTGGTACTATATTTTAAAGCAAACCTGTCCGTACTGTTTTTTTGGGGGGGGGGGGCATTTAGTTAACAAATAAAAATATAATTATTTTGGTCTATCTCATAAATTGTGTGCTTCTCGTGTATTTTTTGGGAAACTATTAATTTGGTCATTCAACTTTGTTTCTGGTTTTGTTTTGGTCACCAGATTTTAAAAAATCAATTCCATCACTAAACTTTTAAATTACTATTGTTTTGATCCCTCAATTGTTAAGTGTTAATCCATTTGAGTTTATTTGGTAAATTTATGCAAAAGCCCCCGATTTTTTATATCTCAAATCCAATTTCTAGACTCCATCTGATTCATCGATGCCCAAGTATTCTTCCAAATCTAAACTACGGGTAGATCGAGAAGGGGGGAAAATAATACATCTTGATTCCACGTTGATTAAACGATGGAGATTGTATAGTTGAATAAGATAAGTTGAAACTTTAATTTGATTTTTTTTTCAATTTCAAGAAAAGCCAAATCGAGAAGAAGGAAGAAGGGGGAGGAGAAATTTTGGTACTAATTGCGTTTAAAAGGATGGTTGTAACAATCAAACGACAGTAGAAAAAGATTCCAACCATTGAGGAGAAAATATTAGCTTTTTTTTATTAAAAAACAGAAATAAAAATCTTATAACCCTAAAACAGAAACAATCTAAAAGTTTAAATGATAATAATCAACATATATGCAATTTGAATCCTAACATTTAAAACATTTCTCTATTCTCAATACATCGCTTGGAAAGGTGAATGCAAATGTTTGTAATTATAAAGCAAATAGGGTTTGTTTGGCCTTTCACCTGAATGAACCCTAAGTTTGATTTATTTAACTATAATTCCAAATTAATGACATTTAAAAGAAGAGTCAACCCTTTTCTCTCTGTGTAATGTTGATGTGCTTGGTTTTCTTTTAATGGCAAAACATAACCTACATCTCTCATCCACATATTTGCATTTGTAGGGATTTGTGTTTGGAGTGGCAGTCTCCAACTATGGGTTTTGTTGGGTCCACACTCCCTAAAACAAGAAACAAGTTAAACTAATGGTCATTCTTAACACCAAAGATGTCTTTACCATGTTCCAATAAATGTTGACTACGATTCAATCATCTTTATTATTTTTAGGATAAATTACACTAATAATCACTTCCACTTTGGTCTTTGAAATTGAATTTATCCCTAAACCATTAACAACAATTGACGTGACACGTTAAAAAATCCTGAAAGTTTTACAATCGTTGCTCTTCCTTTCTTTCTTGTTCAACAGTTTCTTTGATCAAAAAGATCATCGAACTACTCATCTTCTTCTTCTCTTTCTTTCATTCAGTTCAACTTGTTGAGAAAATCTTCTAATCTCATCAAATCTTAATCAAAACTAAAAGTTAGCACTTTTTTTATCAGTCACTGACAATCGTCGAATCAACTTAAAACTAAACTATATTAATCTTTTGATCAAGTAGAGCTTTCCTACAGTTAGGATTGACTGACAACCGCTCTATTCATAAAAAACTTGACATGTGCAATGCATCAAATCTTAATCAAAACTAAAAGTTAGCACTTTTTTATCAGTCACGACAATCGTCGAATCAACTTAAAACTAAACTATATATCTTTGATCAAGTAGAGCTTTCCTACAGTTAGGATTGACTGACAACCGCTCTATTCATAAACAACTTGACATGTGCAATGATTATTAATTTGGAACCTTAAGATTTTCTAGAAAGAATACTTAACTTGCCACGTCAAGTTTTTTAACGATAACTAACAAAAATGACCGTAAAGAAAGAAAATTAAAAGTTTAACAATACAATATAAATTTTAAAAATTTAATAACTAAAGTGAAAATATCCTAAAAGTTTATATGTCCATTTATCCTTATTCTTATTTTTGTATATGTTTTATAATTATCGTTATAATATTAATTTTTATAAGGAATGTGTGGTAGAGTAAAAAGATAAGATTTAGTGGGCTTAACAGGTCACACTCTCCTACTATAAAGGATCCCCCAATGCTTACACTTTTCATTCATATTCCACTGCCTTTGTTCCTTACCTCTTTCTCTTCCTCATCCAACACCAAATAGTGTGTTTTTTTTAAAAAAAATAATCATTAAACTCCAAAAAGGTGTGGAACACAGGTTTTTTTTGGTTCTTTGATTTAAGCTCCCCTGTTTTTTTCTCTGTTTCCCCCCCAGCATTTTTGTTGTGGATAAAAAACATGTCGTCAAGCGTCTGTCAAGGGTTGCAATCATGCATGGACCTACGGCACATTGAATCACGTTTTATGAGACTGAAATTGGCTCCACAGGAAACGAATTTCCCAGCCTCATCCATTGCTTCTACGGAGCCGAAACCTATGCCATTTACCGGAGTAAAAGACGCCATCGCTTGTACTAACGACTGCAAGCCGATAGGCAATCGAAATGTCGACACGGGCTGCTGGAGTTTCGTCAAGTCGCCCGCCGACAACACCGAAGATTCTAACTCTACTCCGAATGACGAAGTTTACGTACACCCTCTCGTGAAGCGTTCGACTTCTATGCTAAGTGAGAGGAGTCTCGAAATGTGCACAGAAAGCTTAGGCAGCGAGACCGGAAGTGACGTTAGCGAGAGCATTGATGACATCTCCTTGCTTTCATTAGAAAACGTTGTTTACAATTCGAAACCCAGAGAGAGTTCGGCGGCGAGGATGAAAACGAGCCGTGTCAAGAGCTTTCCGCCTCCGTTGACATCCATCAGTGGCTCCAATGGTGTCAAAGTCAAGTCTCGCAGAGAAGGCGGCCGTTTAGTTCTTGAAGCCGTTACTAGCCCTCCTTGCAATAGCTACTTCCATACAGAACGAAGCGAGGGCAGGCTTAGGCTTTCCCTTTTCAAGGACATCGATGCCAACGCAATGTTCGAAGGCAACCATGATGAGGAGAAAGACCAAGAGGAGGTCAAACACGACGAATACGACGGCGAAGATAACGAAAATGGTGAAATTAATAATGAAGAAAGTCTGATAATGGAGGTGAGGATATGGAACGAGATAGTGGGGGTGTTGGGTCCGAAATCCGAAACCGAGGTGAAGAAAGTGGGCGTAGGCACAAAGGGTTGTTTAATTGGCACCCATTGTTGGTGGGGTGATTACTTAAAAGCTAAGAGCTGGAAGATTTCTCTCAACCCTACTAGAGAGAATTACTATTATTGGATCCCCTAATTTTTCCCATTTTCCTACCTTTATTATTAATAATTTTCTAATTTTTAGTTATATATTATGAAGTTAGAGATTACCGAACCATGTGTTACCTAAAATATGCTGTCGTGGTAGTTATTATCGTTTTGGGACCAGACCATGTCACGTACTTTACTCCCTTCTCTCCCATGCTGCAGTCTCCTATTTTTATTTTATTATTATCCAATTTCCTATAAATTTCCCTACTTTAATTACTTGCATTTTATGATCGATTAATACTTCCTTTAATAAGATTTACATGACAAAATGAATTTAATTAAGCATACCAACGTCAATTAAGGATTGCCTTAATTTTCCAACCACCTAGTACAGTGAATTCAACTACCCATTAATGAAAGGTTTCTTTATGAGAAAAATATTTAAATGTAACGTGTTTCAATTTAATCCAATTTGATAAAATTGTTCTTTTAAATTAAATTTTTAATATTTGAATATCTCAGTCAATCATTCATGGCTTTAGGGGGAATTTTATTCGTCATATAAGTCTTAGGGACTAATCAAGCATATAAACAAACTTTAGGCAAGAAAGCAACAAATTTTACCCTTTTTAAGCCTAACGTATTGATATCATTATCAAGGGTACTGACACTAGTGGTTAGATATCAATATCTTATATAGGTACCATTTAAGCATATAAAAATTTATGAAATTGTTTATTTAGCAAGATATCGATATTATTAACTAACGTTTCGATAGTCTGAAATTAAGTTTAACTAACTTTGAGAACCTTGAATCATACCCAAACCATTCAAGAACTTGGTACAACCTATACAAACATGTTTAGCACATAACATATGACATGCAAACCTATTCAAGACATCCAAAACTATTTAATGAATGATGATTTAGCATCCTCAGTACCCATTTGACCAACAATGCATTCATGCAAGACATGTCCTTCTAAAAGTGGCTAAATGACCTTCTTACCATTCCGTGACTTTTTGAATGACTTTTTAATCATATCATATACATATTGTATAATACTTTCAACTTTATTTAACTGTGAATTGGATCGATAATGTTATATTGATTGATCAGAACAATAACAATAACTTTATTAATCCTAATCCATTTACCAAATAATCAATTAATCAAATTATGACTTTATTGACTAATTCATATACATTTTGATGTTTGGGGTCATCAATATCAACTGTATACAATTTCAACGGCCATTCACGACCATTTCACTTATCATGGACCATATGTATAATTTTGATATTTTAAACGGTTAGTATCGATACAACCCAATTTATATTGATATTGTATATATATATTACCGATACTATATGTCATAACCATTTCTTGTAAAACAATTAAATATTATTTTTTAAGAACAATTATGACTTTAATTTGGAAAAATGGGTGATTTTGAATTGATTTGAATAAAATTAAAAAGAGTCGCCATCAACCTTTGGGTAGGTAGGTCGACCTAAAAACGTCTTTTAAGACAATTTAAGAAAAATCATTTTTAAGACAAGATTCGGTCTGCATTACCAAAGATTCATTTAAATGGATTCGGGAGTCGGTTACGTGCGGGAAGGGTAAACACCCCGCAACGCCCAAAATTGGTACTGTTCGCTTACACATCGTTGTAAATGGTGGAATTTATGAGTAATAAAAATTAATTTATGATCATTTATCGAACAATTAATTTGCTTCGAATTATTTAATTAGAGAAAATTCTTTAACTCGAAAAGAAATCTCGAAATTAGTAATCCTCCATCGGAAAAGCTAACTCGACTATTTCTCATCCATAAAGAATATTTCCTTCTTGATAAAATGTGAATCGAATATAATAAAATGATGTTTGCATACAACAAAATAAATTGATTAACTAAAATGAATTGAATACAAATGCAAATTTGAAATTTACATTCACATAAAATAAAATAAATTGTCACTTAAAATAACACACATTGCATCGTTGAACAAATTAATTAACGAAATATACTCGACTTATTTCAAGTTTCTATTCGTTAAAATGCCGTACCGGATCACACCACTTCGACTTCGATCAAGTGGTACTTTCCACGCCCATTCTACGCATACGTGTTTTTTTGAAAATATAAATCGAATATTTCATACATAGATAAAAATATAATGAAAATAAATGTAATTGGAATACAAAACAAAATATTCACATTACTAAAACATTATTTATAATACAAATAACCGAATAACAAGTACAATAAAATCATACATAAATGAATAAAAAAAATATTCACAAATGTCGGGGATAAATTTGATCATTAACAAAAATACCTACATTAAATCAATGACTAAAATGAAACTTTTACAAACATTGGGACCAAAGTCAAGTATATCCACAAAAATGCATAATACATTAGTAGGACTAAAATAAATACATAAACATAATGGACTAAATTAGTAAAAGCAGAATTAACAGGGCTAAAAGTAATTACAAAATAACAGGGCCCAAATCACAAACAACAACTAATACAACATCAGAAATGTGAATAAGCCATAAATAAAACTTAGGACTAGATTGAAATTAAAACAGAAACAAGGCTGAATAATGATTAAACCAAAAAGTAAAACAAGGATTAAATAAAGATTTATAAATATGGTGGCCAGATTCGAATACCACAGAAAATACACAATGAGATAAAACAGTGACTAAAATGAAATAATTACACTATGAGCTCAAAACAAAGTATTTACCCAAAATACAATGAACAAATAGGGATCAAAATGAAAAGATATAAAATATCAGGCCACCATTATAATTTAACAAAAAACACCATAATAATAGTAAATAAGGACTGGAATGAAATACATAAAATATACATTACTTAAATACAATATACTAAAATAGTATGGCCAAAATTGAAATACTATCATAAAAAAAAATTAAACAGACAAGGACTAAATTGCAACGTTAAACAAGATATGAGCTCAAAATGAAAGGCCATTAAACTTCCATTCATGAAAGAAAACGAAGGTTTACAAACTACAAGGACCAAATATACATTAACCCCTAAAGTCCAGGACACGGGTAAGAGTTTACAAAGGAGCGAGGACTAATGGGATATTAACCCCAAAGACCCAGGCGCTCGGTCCCTCGCTGCCGAAGCAGCACTCGACCCCGGCCACCGTAGAACGTGGCCACGGGTCTCACAACTACACAGTTTCCCCCCTAAAATAGACCTGAAACTAAACCCCCACTCACAATCAAACCCGAAACCCCAATCCGAAAGGTAAAAAAAATACCTCCAAAGATAGAGCCTAATCACCCCGATGAAGCAATGGTGGTCGGTTATGGTAAGCTTCGGTTTCCTCCTTTTTTTCCTTTCTGATTTCCTTTCTGATTTCCTTTCTGATTTCCTCTGTTTTTTTTTTGGTATTTTCCTTCTTTTTTTTTTGTCTCTGAACCCGAATCCTCTCTTGTTCTTCTCTCCGTTTTTTTTTTTACCAACCGAATGACCCCTGTTCTCTTTGCTTCCTTTGATTTATGTGGGATCTTTGGTGATAATGATGAAGCCTCTACATAGGTGAAATGATTTTCCAGATTTTGCTATGTTAAATCCCGAAAAATCGGGATTTAACTTATTTAAAATGGGGTTTTAAATAGGTTACTGTAAATGATAACTTGGGACTGATTTGGGGATGTTTTGCACTGTAGATGACGCTGGTGACGTGGGAACGGCGGCTGGACCATCGGAGTGGGCCGGAACAGTGACGGCGGCGCGGCTGTCCATGTGCTGTTGCTGGCGGCGGCTGGATGATTTTAGGGTTTTGAAACCCTAATTACTTGGGCCAAATCCAGGCCTGGTTTGAGTATTGGGCCTGAACCGGGTCTTGTTGGGCCTTGTTGTATTGGGCTTTGGCCTGCAAAATATGTAAAATGTAATATTATAATATATAAATATATAATAATAATAATAAAATAACGATAAAAAACCCGGGCAAAAACGGGTGTCTACAGCTGCCCCTCTTTGCACATTCTTGTGTTAACAAGAGGGCAAAGATGATAAGACAACACGTTTTTGTCTGGTTCTCTTCCATTTATACATAGAAATTGGATAATATGGTTGTTGGGGACGACACTGCTCATACATGATGAAGAGTTCTGGTCGTCTAAAAGTGACAAGGTTCCTACATAATGAGGAAATCTGATCGAGGGATGACACTTCTCCTACGTGATGAAGAGTTCTTGGCCATCTTTAGGTGATAACACGGTTCCTACGTGATGAGGACGGCTGATTATCTATGGTTGACACGGCTCCTACGTGATGAGGAGATCTGGTCTGGGGAATGGCACGGCTCATACGTGATGAAGAGTTCTGGCCATCTAAAGGTGATAACACGGTTCCTACGTGATGAGGACGGCTGGTTATCCATGGTTGACACGACTCCTACGTGATGAGGATATCTGGTCTGGGGATGACACGGTTCCTATGTGATGAGGACTACTGGCCATCTTAAGGTGATAACACGGTTCCTACGTGATGAGGACGGCTGGTTATCCATGGTTGACACGACTCCTACGTGATGAGGAGATCTGGTCTGGGGATGACACGGTTCCTATGTGATGAGGACTACTGGCCATCTTAGGAATAATGGTTTCAAGGGAGACCAACTCAAAGATGTGTTTCAGTAGAAACAAACTCAAAATTGAATTTGATAAAAATTATCTCAAGGGAGACAAAATTCGTTTCAAGAGAAACGATCTCAAAGATATTTGCTTTGTTTCAAGTGAAATAAACTCAAAGATAAGTTTTTCAAAAGCAACTGTCTCGAAAGAGACAAATTCGTTTCAAAGGAAACAACCCAAAGATGGCATTTAAAGGGAATTGTCTCAAATGAGACAAAATTTGTTTTTAAGGGAAACGTTCTCAAAGATGTTTTTTGTTTCAAGGGAAACAGATTCAAAGATGGTAATTTTGTTTCCAAAGAACAAACTCAAAGATTTTTCTCAAAGAAACTGTCTCGAGAGACATAAAATTTTGTTTCCAAAGAAAGAGATTCAATGATTTTTTTTTTTTTTTTTTTTTTTTTTTGAAAAGACATTGTCATAAGAGACAAAACTTTGTTTTTCAGAAAATGGTATCTTAGTGAGACAAATTTTGTTTCCAGAGAA